TGCCTTCAAAGTGCATGGTTATTGCTCTTATTTTCTTTAATGACATATCTAGTGCCCTTATAGAACCTTAAAATTGCTATGAAGGTAATTTTAGACCCCAAAATGTGTGAAATTTAAATACCACTTTTTGTGTTTCCCTTGGGCGGTCGCTATGGACAGGTTTGACTGTACACACATGTGCCTATCACATGCTTTATATGGGTTAGGGTTATGTACAATATGTTGTCATTTTGGAGGCAGAGGAACGTTAACTCAATTACATTACATGTACTTAAATAGAGCATAACGCCATTTTGACTCTGAACAGAATATCTTCTGTTGTATTTTAGAATCAATACATGTACATGTATGTTGCAATATAAGCCAGATTTATTGAATGTGCTGTGCTTGTAAAAATTATTTGCCTGAGCAATAGATTTGAATAGATTTTATTTTGTTTCAGAGATGCAATACCATTGACCTTGTTTTGATTTGAAAATAAATGACATAGACTAATGTAAAGCTTTGAGTTTGTTTCCCTTCATTACGTGTGAGGTTTGATTTAAACAACATCTTACATACATTTACTTGATGAACGTAATAAACTTGTTGTAATATACATGTATGTGTATTTACATTTTGACAATCTTACATACTGCAGTACAATAGAATTAAAGTAGATTCACACACAAAAGTTCTGCCTACTACCCGCTTTGAAAGTGCTCCTTTCAATATGATTTCCCCTTGTTATTTGTGCTAAAAGATTTTTGTTTCTGTCTATCTCTCTCTATCCATAGTCCATGCTCTATCTCTCTCTTCCATTACATTTCTCTCCTCTTTCTGTCATGTGGTATGTTTTATTCATTATCGTTCTTCATTTTCCATTTAGTATCTTGCGGTCATTGGCTTATTAATTCTGCTTTTCAGTTAATAATGTAATTGGTGCCATCAACTTCACTCATCCAATAACATTTTTCTGTTCCCCTCTAAACTGTCTCTCCTCCAAATCTTTGTTATCTATTTTTATTTGCTATTTTGCTTTCGTTTTGTTGTGGTGAATTGATCCAGGGGCTGAAATAGAGAATAAGGGGAGCAACATATTGGGCCTGTGTCTTGTAGGCCCATTCTTGTAGTCAAAATCACCAAGATTATGGAGTTTGTGAGGTCAGTTAGAGGGATAAAGTGTGACAGCGTGGAAGTTTGAGATGAGTTGCAATAATTTCATGAACAATATAGTCATCTGTCTCTCATAACTGAAAATGACTTTCATAAGATTTGGTAGAAAATAAACAACACACACATAGATAATATGAATACTAGCAAGACACTATTTATTCAGCAATACATTGTATTTTTAATATGATTAATGCAACATTAGCATGAAGTTTATCCAATGTAAAAGGTATACTAGAATGAATTCTCGCTGGGAAAATTAGGTATGCTATGAATACAGAATTTTTCCCTGTTCCCTATTAGCATAGACAAGAATTAATATGTCTTGAAAATATACTGCATTATATTATTTTCAGATATATGTAACACAAACAAATCTAATAAATAGTTTTACAATGGATCACCTGTGATATAACTTACCATTTATAAAAGCAATAAAATTAGTATCAACTCATGGTGTTTATAAAGAGGGTGAACCCATCAAACCATATTATTGAAAAACAAAAGACTTCTGAATGTCTACAACCTGATTATTGCCGATTTCGTCAGAACGGTCAATTAAGGTCACATCACTGTGGCTGTAGCTGAAACCTTATCTTTCAAACACAAGAACTATATTGTATGATTACATCTAAGGATGGAAGATATCACCGGTTTTGAGAAAAATCATGGACATAGTTTTTAAGAAAAAGAATGAACAGGATTTTAATAACAAAATAAAAGCAATAAACTATTAGATTGCAGTTCTTTACAGTTCAATTTGGGAAAAGAGTCATAAACACATCATTAATTCATACTTTGAAAATGTTACATATTGTCTGTTAGGATCCATAATGGCATTTACTCATTAATATACTCATATTCTTAAACACTGACTTTAATAATGCCCTTTGGGTTTTGAACAGTTCATAAGCTAAGGCAGCAACACCTATTTATTATACAGCATTAATTACCTTTCTTTTCAACTAAGAACATTGCAGACAATGAGATAAATTGAATTTCATACATTAATCAGAATTCAATCAAATGTAAATTTAAGATTATTCCAAAAAATACTTGTTCTTTTACTTAACAATATTTAAAGCCATTTCTATCAAAAGATCAGTAAGCCTGATTCGTCATCCCATTGTCGATGTGGAAAAATTGCAAGCATCAAGTAAGTCGGGTGAACTGATATGTCACATTTCAAACAATTAAGAATCATACGTTATTGCTATCCAAATTTACAATGAAGTAACTGTCTCAGATTGACATCATGAATATTAGAAGTATTTGATTTAAAGATATTTGAATAAACATTCATTGAACTCATATGAATTGGAACAAATGTATATTGGCTTGCTCCAAAAAAGTGATATTAAAGCATATATCAACACTTTGCTTGCTTCCTTCGCCTCTCTGCACTGTTACTCATTTGCCACACATGCAATTTGGGACAAAATATTAGGCGGTAATTGTTGTAAGGATTGATTGCGCAACAATGAAGTTTCATAATTATCAATTTCCGGTCTTGATTAGCTTCAAACAACGCCTTCAACACGGTTATACATGTACATCAATGTTACACGGGAAACAGTTGAATAATCTTGAAGCCTTTGGTATATCAATTCAATGATAAATACAATGTGGCACAGGGAGATTATTTGTGTGGCATGAAAAGAGATATATCTTTCCAGTATTACAGTGCAATATCATAGTTTATGCATGTACATGTGGATAATGCTTTACATACATGTAAGCATAGCTTTCTCAATAACTTAGCAATTTACAAGCATTTTACATGAAATTCAATAGTTCATAGTGCAACATGCTGGCTATATTTACATTATTTCAACAGGCTTTGTCACCCCCCTCCCCTCCCCAACAACCACAAAAATTACTGTAATATCAAGTACAAATAAATATTATTGATAGGAGGCCCTCTTGTGTTTGCACTGGACATGGTGTATTTATTAAGTGGCCTACGTGGGATACATTACTAGAAGTATATCCCACAAAATGATGAGCGTATTTCACAAGTCGGCACGACGGGTGAACTATTCTCAAAGCAAGGGCAATATACCCTTGTACCTCGCAAAGAAAATCCAATCAATATCATTAATACTAATTGTATGATATCTAGTACCTCAAAAACTGAAAACAATTTTAAAAAAACAATGAAGCTCTTTTGTACTACAACAAAAAAAGGCCTGATTTCTAATCTCACGACTACTATAAAAGCTACAAAGTACTGACAAAGCTTTACAAAATTTTGCTTAGTAATAATTCCTCTCGTCTTAGAAGAGCCATGCTGCACTGCTTTATATCTATGGCAAAAGCAACACATCTACAAATAGTCTTTGATTTCCAAATGCATGATTACACTAAAATTGGCAGTGTAACTCCCTACTGCACCAATAAAGATACATGTATATACAAATTAATATCCATGAGCAATATTTAGCATGACTAATCTGCCGATACTATGAAAAGCCGTCCTTACAATGGCTCCTCAATTTAAAGGCATGATAACTTAAATGTGGTATACAAAAAAAAGCTAATACATTTAAACTGAACTATAGTTAATAATATCAGAGAAAGAGTTGGAGAGAATAAAAATGGAGAGAATGATAGAGAAAAATAGAGAGATAGAGAGTGAGAGACTGGATGATAGAAAGAGAAAAGGAAAGGGGGAATGAAAGGTGAGATAGAGAGAGAGAGAGAGAGAGAGAAAGAGAGAGAGAGAGAGAGAGAGAGAAAAAAACATATTTAGGTGAAATACATAAACTCAAGCATTTCCCAAAGGATATAAATGATAAATAAATGCAAAGAAGATAAACAACAATGAAAATTAATCGTTATGACACAGAAATGCTTAATTTGACCACATACATTGTCTACAACGAAGCAAGAAAAGGCATTAAACCTTTTATATTTGAGCCCTACAAGCTCTCAGATTAGTATCATCTTTAATGCAACCATGCAAAAAAAGAAAGCATCTAAAGTGTCTATTAATTCCTAAAATACTCTAACAAAACATCATGAGTGATAATACATCAGCCATTGACATATTAATGACTATTATCATCATCATATTATTACTTACAAATGAATAACTTCTGTAAACTTTTTAGAGTATTCAACATCCCAATGAAATCCATATTCTTAAGGCAACAGCATTGTCCAATCGTATATTTTCAGCTCTCTATCCTACAGAAAATGATATTACATTATTCTCATCTACACTCTACATTATAGAATGCACTATATGATCTACAATGCACAATACAGAAATAATTGAGTATATATTCATAGATGTGTGACTGAATACGAAATAAATAATCATGCAATGTTATGTTGTTGATTTCTTTTTGCACAATCACTTTCAAAACAAAGCAAGAAATTAAAAAAAAACATATATAGTATCATTCTAAAGAGGAATAAACACACTCCTTGATGAATAATAATCAAAGCGATGATTATGCCATGATAGAGCTATAATCAATCCAACTGGAGTTTCTAACTGGAGTTAACAAACTTAACTGAAGAAAATTAGAGTCAATATGAATACTCTTTGATTCTTCTAAGGTAGCAATATAAAAAAATGGCGTGTAACTATTTACTTATTGACTTTGGTATTTTTCACTCTTAATAATGTAGAAAATATCTATTTACCATTATCATACTCATCATACTGAATATTATTTGCTAACCAGTATGATGAGAACCAAAACTAAAAATCCTATTTTATTAGTAACATTCCATATAAATCAACCAATATTAATCATCATCATAATCAGCATTATCAACAATAACTATCTGTGTTCTGCAATGTTACACTTGTAATTCTGCAATGTTACACTTGTAATTCTGCAATGTTACACTTGTATTTTTATAGCAAATTGAATTACAATATGTGATTGGCTTTATAATCAGTCGTAGACACATATTTTTATTTCCAAACAGTGAATTCGCCCTTCTCAACAGCACATCCGACATATCAATTCACTGCAAGACAAATGCCAGTCCCATGCATGCATTTTTCTGTGAGTGATTTGCAGGATCTTGATCCACCCTCAGTACAGAAGAATCCTTTTCTCCACTGGTTTTCTACATATAGGGCACTCGGACATACGATCCCCGCAGAGCTGACAGGTGCCGTGGCCGCACAGGAAGATCATGTTCTTGATGCGATCCAAACATACAGGACAAACGGTCTGGATATTGTTAGGGAAACAAATGGAAAAAGCAGTTTAAAAAACAAGTATTATCAGGAGTAATGATAATATGGGAAGATGACATCAAACAATCAGAACTGGCAACTTTGGGGCCTTTTTTTGTTGTTGTGTATTATTTTCTGCTGTTTCATACATGAATCAAATTTGTATTTCAAAGTTTAAGAGTGAAAAAAATAAAACACTGCAAGTGAAAACATGTTTGTTAACAATTATTTAAATCATGAAAGTCATGAAAGTCTATAAACTTGTTAATCTACATTTGCCACTCCATACCCAGGAAAGAAATGGGGACCTGGTAGGATGTGAAAAGCCTTTGTTAGTTGCCATATGCCCTCACCGTGACCATATAGTAGGCACAAAAGCTTTCGTCATCCCCCCCCCCCCACTCTGGGGTAGGAGGGACCACATTCGTGTTCCTAAAATCTCCAGTAAAGGGGTACTTTTCATTCAACAAAGTCTGGCCCGTAGTGATAGGGTGTGCCTTCAAAGGGAAGGAACATGCATATGCGTTTCAATGTTTCTGAGTGGGGGGAGGGGGAGGGGGGACCTGGCGTCATCACACCGGGTCCCCATTTTGCTCTTGGGTATGGAGTGGCAAATGTAGATTAATGCCTTTCCAAAGGACATTAGTGCTGAAAGGCTAGATCCATGCTATGCCACTAAGCAGCTAGGAGATTGATCTCACCTGTTCCTTGATGTCATGTAGTTGTTGCTTCAGCTTGGTCACCTCCAGGTTAGTGTTGTTCATCTTGACCGGTTTCTGGCTGGACGACATCGCGATGTTAGCGTTCCCGCTGTTGGTAGGTCCGGGGCTTGGATTGGTGTTAGTGTTAGTGTTTACGCTGGTGTTGTTAGCGTTGCTTGCTGCGGTGTTGGAGGGCGGAGACGGCGCTGTCGGTGATGACGGTGGTGCTACAAAACGAAGAGAACGTTTGAGAAGAGTTATGAATTTGTGTACACCTGTAGTAATAACACATGTCAATCTAATGCTACATATCCAACATGTTTCCTTCCTTTTCTGTATTACTCATTATAAACAAAAGACAGTCGTTGAGATTAATAATGATAATAATAATCAAATTTCATTTATCCTCATTATCCATATCATCATCACCATCATCGTCATAATCACTACCATCATCATTATCATCATCATCATCATCATCATCATCATCACCACCATCATCATCATCACCACCATCATCATCATTATCATCATCATCAACATCATCATCATCATCATAATCATTATCATTATCATCACCATCACCACCACCACCACCACCACTACTACTAAACTACCAACGTCATCTAGACCCTTACCTTTCCCTCCACAGCAGACCACAAATGGTACGGTCTTCTCGATATCGGAGCGGCACTGGACACATTTCTTCATCAAACTTCCACAACCTGAAAGAAAAGCACATTTAACTATCCTGAGGAGTGTTGCACAAAGACTAAGATCGACTTTAAGTTGGACTTAACTATGGCAGGCCGTTCATGCCACTGTTTGCTCTCACCATTTACTGGCATTGGTCTCTCAAGGGACGTACAAATCATGGTCAGGAATCTACATATTTTGATAATTCATTATTGAAGGAATAAAATATTATCTAAAAATCATATTGGTGAGAGCAACCAGTGGCACGATTGTCCTGCAATAGTTAAGTCCAACTTAAAGTCAATCTTAGTCTTTGTGAAACACCCCCCTGAAATAAAATGTCGGCAGATAGCTTCAATCAAACACATTAAAATATAAGAAGGGAATACAATGTACATTGTAACTGCTATAAAAATCATGTTTATGTATCCGAGGGTATCGATAGAGATGTACATTGTAACTGCTATAAAAATCATGTTTATGTATCCGAGGGTATCGATAGAGATGTTCATTCACCTCTGAAGTTGTTACAAAAATACAAACGAAATGATAGCAACATAATACAGAATTTTAGAGGTAGATAAAATTAATAAAACAATGTAGTGCTTGTTGCCAGTACAGGCTGTTAATGTTTGAACGGATAATTCTATACCTAATTCCTATGTACAAACGTGGATACAAAAAGTGAAGTTAGCGGAGCCCAACAACAACAAAAACTCTGAACGGGAGAATAGAAATGTCCATTTTAAACGCTTCAGTGAATAGGCATCTACAAAAAAAACCAATTACCTCCAAATGAAAAAGAAATATCAAACTAAAAAATATTTATTTCAACAACAAAAAAAAAAAAAAAAAATAATAATAAATTGATTATTCCCTACACTGTTTCCACTTGTGTATGAGATAGAGAATGTGTTCATACCGTCACAAGCACACATATGACTGCAGGGGTGGAACAGGACAGATGCCATCTTGTCTGAACACACTACGCACTCCTCAATCTAGAATAAAGGAAAAGACAGATAAAATAATTTCATTAAAAACATGACTGTAGTATCATAATCACAAAAGTACACATAATCGTTTGCTTCGTTGAATTTCAATTGACTGTATCTATTATATGAATAGAAGATGAAATAATTTTATTTAGCAGGTAAACATACAGTGAATCATGAATTTCAAATTGACAATTAGGTCAGGGGATTGTGATGTAGTCGCGGATAACTCTCCCGTTTGTCGTGTGCAAAAATCCAATTAATTTCTGTTTTTCTCCCAAGTGCCTTCTCCTTTGAGGTACTACTCAAAATATATTATGGATAGCATATAATTACAGGTCCTCTAAAAAAAGAATAGATACTCCTGATTCATAAATTTTGAAAAAAATGAAAGTTTATCATTTGTGTCTTGGAAGAAAGGGGAAAGATGTCTGCCACTAGATCGCAGAGACATTACCGATTCAGCCAATTTGACGAGCCTATACCTATAGTGATTAAAACTTTGAACATATTCATAACTTCCTCATATTTTGTCTGATTTCATTCAAACTTTCACCAGTCTACTGCCTTCTTCTAGAGTAGTCTGCTATCAAGGTTTGATTTCCCTTTATTGGAAGCAGCCCTGGGCCAGAATACAAAGTGCAGGAGATCAAGAGTATCCTCAGTGCATAGCCCTAGACCCTATAAAGAGTCCTCTAATCAATCCAAAGTTTGCCATCTTTTCCTATCTTTTAAGTACATAGCTGCGATTGATATCAAGTCTTTGTAAGACGGGCCCTTCTAAGAATAGTAGGGTATAAACCTTGGTTCTAGACTGGACCGGTTCTTTGCAGATGAGGCACTTCTTGACCCTAGGGGAGCAGAGTGAACAGGTGGCGATGTGTCCACACGGACCAAACAACGTATCTCGTTTCATGTCCGAACACACCATGCATTCCTCTAGAGATTCCTGTTCACCGGTGTCCGAACCATCCATTAATAGGTTGGATTGACTGAAATATAAAAAGATTGAGGTGGTTAGAATATTTCCTTGACAGACTCCAGATATGGGTAGACAGGTTGTGCTGAATTTATCTGGGAAACAGTTACAAAACACTTTAGCTCTCACTTGTACTAAATTGGATTGATCGAGTAAGTAAGATTTGCAGTGCAGTCTCCTTCTATCTATAGAAAATAGGGTGTTATTTAGATGAGAAATGGACAGACAGACTAGTTCATGCATAGCCTTGTAATTGCCACACTGATAAGTGTAAGCCCTTCTCTACGATCTGACCGATACTCAAATGAACCAAATTAATTCAAAGAATACAAAATTTTGCTGCATGGCTTGTCACAAGGTCCTGTTCAAATGAATCTATCTCTCTTATATTGAAGAAATTACACTGGTTATCTATTCGTGATGGAATTGAGTTCAAAATCCTTGTCTTAACCTTAACGTGTCTGAAAGGATTGGCTCTTACATATATGACTGAACTGCTTACCCAATACGTACCTAACAGAAACTTCAGGTCTCCCCAAAAGTCTCTCCTTACTATTCCCCAAATAAATACCAATTTCTACAGGTCACGCTCTTTTCAAGTTGCATCAACAGTTGATGCAAGCTACAATTTGTGTGAAGTGGTGGTTATTTTACCTGACTGCAAAGAAAGCATAAATGCTTGTTAGTAAGCAACCAGAGGAACAACGGCTTTACATGTAGGTCCTCTCCGAGAGTCTTGGTAATGAGGATTAATGCCTTACCAAAGGGCACTAGCGCATCGTCTTGATTTCGAACCCGGGTCCCCGGATTACAAGACCACTGCTCTACCAACTGAGCTATCGCACATCATCCAATTCCAGGGTAAACGGGAAAGGGCGAAGGGTAAAGGGCAAAGGGCAAAGGGGAAGGGGGAAAAGGGAAAGGTTGGGTCCTCTAAACTCACCTATGCTTCTCCTTGTGGCATTTTGCCAGGGCTCTGCAGAGGTTTGGATCAGGACAGAGGTCCATAGGAGACTGGCCTTTCTTGTTCTTGACGTTGAGGTCCGCTCCGTTGGCTGCAAGGAAGCAGGCGATAGACGCACTGCTCTTCTTGTCACCAGATTGAGTGCCAAGACCCATCAGGAGCTGACAGAGTAAAGAGGAAAAGTGGACAGTTGGGTTACAGATTTGCATCGTGCATTTGCTACACCACATTACGTGAGTTGATCGTCATCTGCTGTGTACCTCTTTGATTACACAGAGGGCGTGCATACAGAACTGACCTTTTACAGTTTTATATTGTCTAGATTTGTCATGATGGTCCCGTTATTCAGGCACAATGTACCTACATGTCCATGTAAACCTAAGTGTTATGGGATGGTAATGTAGGTACCAGTACTATCTTGTTGTCCGACAGGGTGCTAAGATCCAGACACTTAGACAATTACAAGAACATTGAGGGCTGTTTTTCTACCATACTCACTCTACAGCCTTATGATCCAACTCACATTGATCCATCAATACATGTACCGGTACTTAACTCTCAGCCTACTTTTGGACCTAAACATTTCTCTTCTCTTTGCCAGACAGGGTGCTAAGATCCATCACAGTCTTAGATAATCACAAACACATACTTTAAAAAATGGATATGACAAAACCAGGATAAGCCATTAATACTCCTACTATTAATTAGTTTATTGGAAACTAACCTTAATCCTAACCTTGATGGGTCATATAATAAACATATCTCATTTGGTCTTATACCACTCCAGTTCCAAGCTATTGTTCAATATTTTAAAAAAGTACATATACCTTTCGCGCATCCATTCAAATAGATAATTTCAACAATTGTTGAAACTGTTAAAATAATAGGAAAAGTGGACAGTTGGGTTCACAACATGAGAACATTAATCTACATTTGCCACTCCATACCCAGGAGAGAAATGGGGACCTGGTAGGATTACAAAAGCATTTGTGTTTAATAATTACCACATGCCCTCATGGTGACCATATTGTAGGACTATTCCTCAGGGAGTAATAATATTTGTAAAGCAATGAGAGACTATATTTCGTTCTATTAATTATTGAATCTGTGTAAAAGGAGACATGTCGTTGTTCATTTTTGTGTGTATTTTTGTGTGTAATTTTTGTGTACTTATATATTTTCTTCTCCATGCGCCTGGAACACATTAGTCATGTGGAGTTGGCGCATTACAAATACTCTATATCATATTATGTTAATAATTTTCTGTCTCTCAGCAGATACAGAATAATATTTGCTGATGATCGAGGCCATCCTACCTTGCCGACATCTTGCATGTCTTGTAGTTGTCTGAGTTGTGAGAGGGTGTGGTGGCGTAGGGCTTCATGAAGGGGCGTGTCTCCATCCTTGTCAGGAAGATCAAGCTTAGATCCGGCTCGCACCAGCAACTATAGATACATGTATGAAGAAAGAATATGAGATCGAATCAGCCGAAATCCAGCTTGCAACAGCATACATGTACATACAGTTAGTATGTGAAAAATTGATTGGTCCACCTTTGTATCTTTAGAATGGGACATATCAAAGCTTACATCTAAAGGTATTCAACAAAGACCCTAACTCAACCATTCCATCTTTCATTCTTGAGTTGCGAAAAACACAAAAGCATCAAATTTACAATTAAGGACCGGGTATATATAATTTAGTTGTTAACTTTATATCAAGAAAATGCAAACATTGAATCTTGACAATATGATGTAGTTGGGGCAACGTTTTCATTGTTGTTCTTTCAATGCATAGATTTCTAAAAGAATAACATTAATTAATCATGTACATGAAGAAGCAAAATCATATACTATTTCTTAGGACTCTAAATGTTTAGCTTGTGGCTTCATATATTCTAGCACTGTGCTTTTGTAATAACATCAAGCAAGGCATTTGTGTCAACAATTGTCTCTTGAGATCCAGGAGAAGTAATTTGTTATTAAATTCACATATTTACAAAGAAATGCCAGTTAATACATGTGCATGTCGCTGGCGTAATACACTTAATCTGTTCCAATTGACATCTAGGGACATTTTTGTGTCAAGATTATCTCAATACAAGGACTGGACAAACTTTTTCTCTCAGAGTAGCTGGTTATTGGTCTCATGTTTTAGATATCTCCTCATAAATCACAGAAAACATTTACAGATAACTTTACCAATCCTTCCTAACTGCTAATCTACACTTCTTTCTGACATGGGCTGAAGATGCCACAATAAATGGTGAAAACAGCCCGGGACACACAGTGCCCTCTCTTGATCATTGGGTGCCAGCTTTTAACCCCCAGGGTATCACAAACTACACACTGTCGTTGAAGTAACTGGCTCATTTAATAGTATTGAAATATTTATCTTAAAATCTCTGACATATCTTAATTTTATTCCGCTCTCATTTTTCTGGTTCAATCAACGATTTTCCTACTGGAATAAAATTTAATGCATAAATCTTCAGTTTGTTAAGTGCCATGTTGCAAATTATTTCAATCACCTTTTATGAACAAATGTATTTCAATATAGTCCGAACATGAATTGCATACATTAGTGTTTGCTAACAACACGTATGTATGCAATTTGAATTCTAACTATTTGATTACATTACGAAGGTTCTCTGATACATGCTCTGTGGTTAGTACCCTATTCTCACAGAAATCATACCTTCAACCTGGGACTAAACACTGTACTTGACCCTAACCCAAAACCTAAACCTAAACTTAAACTTAAAGATAAACTTGAGTTCTGGTAAAAAAAAGAAAATGAATTCTCACAGAAT